ATGCAGCCTCCACTGTAGAAAAATGCAGCAAACTTTTAACAACAAAGTTAGCGACTGTCCTGTGGCCCCCACCTCACTTTTCTTTTGTCTGTCCTCCTCACATCAGGGTCAGAACCTCCTGTGTGGAGAACATTAACATAAACAGTGAACATCAGGTGAACTGCTTAACCAGCTGACCATGGATGAGCACATTTTTACAATCTAAGCTTCATCCGTTACTGTTAATTTTTACTTAGCTTTTGATGTAGCTAGCTACATAGATAGCCATAAAATAAAGCTCCACACTAATATCTTAAAGTTAGTGTTACATGGATCCTAGTTTAATTCACCGCGATGCACGTATTAAGCTGCAGTAACGTTAATAAACGTAAACTCACCAGCTGAAATCCCAGACACAGCGTCGTCCTCGGATGAAGCAGAGTCCGGTCGTGGCGATAATGAATCAGGCCATTCAACACTCGCAGGCTGACTTTAATGCTGAGAGAGAAGGAGGGAAAGCTGCGCTCCTCTCCCCTTGCTAACACGGAACAACTTTCCGCTCGTAAATTGAAACCGTTCGATGCCACAAGCGCTGCACACATGAACTCCGTCTGTGGGCATAGCCAGCGCCATAGACTTGCAGCTGTACAGCAGCTCTATACAGCTCTGGATGTAAACATGTAGTCTGTTTGCTATATGTCTGTGTTTTATCAGCCTGCGTGCTGAAACCATGTGTCAAGTTACAGCCAATACTGAAACTTGACACCAAAAAAAGAGGCGTGTTTCAATCTATACACTGACTGACGCAGTTTGGTCGGTGCTATAAAAGAACCTTGGTTTGGTATACAGCCCTATACCAACAGACAACACACAAAGCAATATACAAAATGAAATAAATCAGAATATAGACATAGAAACGATGCAGATAATAAATATGACGACAAACCAGTGTGGAGCGTACAGGTTCAAAACACAGATCCTCTGGTGTTGAAAGCTACTGAATAGTAGTGGGTTTTTAAACGGGATTTGAAAACAGAGAGGGAGGGGGCCAGTCTGACAAGTAGAGGTAACTCGTTCCAAAGTCTTGGTCCTGCTACAGAGAAGGCCCTGTCACCTCTATGCTTAAGATGAGTTCCTGGAACTGTGAGGAGCAATTGGTCTGCTGACCTCAGGGAATGTGGAGGGACATACGGTTGTAGCAAATCAGAGATTGGGGGGGGGGGGGGGGGGCGAAACTGTTCAGCGATTTGTAGACATTTTTAGACGTTTGTATCACTAGGGATAAGGTGTCCTGCTCAGAAACACCACGAGATGTGCAATGACTGGGGATTGTACCCTGGACCTTCGGGTCCCGAGTCGTTTGCCCTGCCCCTACACCATCTCGGCCTCCCAATCAAACTGGCACAAAGGCTTTGGCTGTCATTTTATACAGAATACTCTTCCTAACACAACCAGGGCTTCAACCTGCAGCTTCACGATTATGAGACTGTGGCACTGACCACTGAGCTGCTGCACCACCTTGTATTACGGAAAATTAAACTTAGTTTTTCCAAAAACAATTCCTTAAACTGTAAAGTCATTGGGGCAACTGCTGAGGTGGTTCCAAAAGAAGTGGAGGAGGGTTTGATGTGGAGGGAGGCCAGAGAGTCACTTCTGCCAGCCGTGAACAGAAGTTTGGTGTGGTTTTTAAAAAGTGTCTGCTCAAGATTGCCTCGCTGACTTTGTTGCAACCAATCACGTCAACCGGACTGCAGTGAAATTTGACAATTTTCTTGCCTTTTTTAAACTTTGAGTCAGTAAGGTAATTTCAGATAAGTGGCTGCGTAAGCTCTTCTTAAATAAATGTTGTATACAGTATGTTCACAACTGGAAGTATGCAGTAAATTACTCCACATAAAAAGGTTTTAAATAGTACTCCTTATGTATTGGTGTCTCATTTTTACCCTCCTGGTTTTTGTCATTACTACTGCAGGTCCAGCATCATGAGAAAACGCTTTGGATTCCCTTTTGTGGCCCAACATTCCTGAAGGAACACTTGATCTGCGTTCTTCTGCACACAGGAAGTTACTGCACCTTGGAAGAGCAGTGTGTGACAGTGGGACATGAACCTGCACTTTGTTCTGGAGGAATGAGAAGAATGTTTCAACTTAGAAAAGCTCCAAATACCACTGCCTTCTCAGATGTCAATTCATCCAATTTATTAGTCATTTTCCTCATTTTTATTGAATATTTTTAAAGACTTTATTCTAAAGAGGCTGTACTTTCCAAGAAACTGGAGTTGATATAAAGACCTAAGCCTGAATGAGTCGGGGAGAAGAGGATAAAACGAAAACTGCCCATGCCTGGAAAGTTGAAGGTTTACGACCGTCACTTTGAACCCAAACTCTATGTAAACCAAACCATCCAGTCCCTGCTTTAGATCACAGTGCTGGCTGAAGTTGTTTAATGATCTAGTGGAATTTGAGGGCATCACTGAAACTGGAGCTGTTTCTGAATAACTGAATATATAGGAACACTAATGGATGGTCCTTTGGATTTGTCTCTAACTGAAACAAGCAGACAACCTGTTGCTTAGTGCTGGATCATGTTGATGATGTAGCTGGCAGTTGAGGTGGTTTGAGTCAGCCACCAGTGGGGTTCAGGGGTGGTTTGAGTCAACCACCAGTGGGGTTCAGGGGTGGTTTGAGTCAAACACCAGTGGGATTCAGAGGTGGTTTGAGTTGAACACCAGTGGGGTTTAGGGGTGGTTTGAGTCAGCCACCAGTGGGGTTCAGAGGTGGTTTGAGTTGAACACCAGTGGGGTTCAGGGGTGGTTTGAGTCAGCCACCAGTGGGGTTCAGAGGTGGTTTGAGTTGAACATCAGTGGGGTTCAGGCGTGGTTTGAGTCAGCCACCAGTGGGATTCAGGGGTGGTTTGAGTTGA